CCCTTCATCAGTAGGCAACTCACTTCATACTTTCTGATAAAACCTTACCAAGCCCCCCAACTAGCACCTCCCGTATGCTGTCGTATCAACAGCTGTCCCAAACTCGCCACACTCAAGTAAGTCTGAGAAACAAGCGCAGTCCAAAATACCAACTCCGTCGTATCCGGCCCTACAACCCCCCTATAAAACTTACCTTCCTTCATAGCTATATAATTATCAACCCACCACTTCGCAAATGCCCAATGCGCCAATGCACACCACGCTAACAGTCCAGCAAAAATCACGCCCAGATTCCTCTTCATTAACGGCGCATGATTCCACTCTTCCTTCCCATACTTCAATAATCCATACACCATCCCAAGGTCGAGGATAAGCCACATGGTGAAGACGGCACTTTCCAGGGTGGTTTCGGCGATTAAGAGGCCGTATATGAATTCCCAAGCAAAGTTGTACGCCAGGGCAAAGAGAGGCATACCGTAGGAACGGTCTCGGAAGGAGCGGAAGGTTAGGAGGATGTAGCAAAGTGTCCAGAAAGCACCGCCAATTTGAAGGAGGGCGTTGGCAATTGGGAGGTAGTAAGAAGGCACGTGGGGAGGAGGAACGTCGTTGGAACCCATCTTGAGCTCGCTGGTGCATGAAGCTGCGGCCAAAGAGAGAAATCGATAAGTGAGAAAGGTGAGAAACGAAATAATCGTGACGCTGGGAGAAATGAAGACACTCCCCTAGGGCTTATATCTGAATTTTGACCCCTTGAAAGTTCTCCAGATTTTGCTGCACAGCGTGATCAATTAATCTGTGCCAACCTAGTAGCTATTTAACGCAACATCTGTATCATCGACACACGGTTACCCTCAACCTCAAGATATAATTTTACTAGGGTAATAGCAGTAACCAATTGCTGGGAATTAGAAAGCAAAGATTGAGACTGTGTAGCTTCTTCTCCACAAGATTTTGTGTTTCAGGAGATGTCCCATAGGTACGCCACTGCTCAGGGGGATGGAGCTCCCCTAGTCACATTTCCAGGGGCCGCTCAGCCACAATTAATTTGGACCTCGGTTCCCCAGTAATCACTGCATGCCCCGCAATCCAATGTCAGCTTCACAACACGACAACTTTCCGAATGCCGGGCAATGCATCTCAAACGACTGAGTTGCACAGTTTCGAGACCATGGATTCGCGGTAAGACTATTAATTCAAAACATATCTGGACACTCGTCAAATCTCGGGCCACTTCCTCCCAGCCTTCTACCAGAAGACTTCCTGCGCAGTCATCCTTGTCCTACAGGGGACATCTCCCGGCTATGGCGCCTCGAACAGATTTGGGAAAGCAGTATATGTCTTCAGGCACAGAGCCCAAGAAAGAGGTTGCAACACCCCGACCTAGTGCCAGGTATGTGATTCCCTTCCATGCCCAAACACTCTTACTGACATCGCCAGTATCCTCCTAATATCCCCTTCCAATGAAATACTCCTTCTCCATCGAGTCCAAACCTCCTCCTCCTTCCCATCGGCCCACGTATTCCCAGGCGGGAACCTCTCCCCCTCACAAGATGGCAAGATCCCGGCAGCAAATAGTTCTGAACGACACGTCGATGGGCCGGCATATAGACTTGGTGCAATACGAGAAGGTTTCGAAGAAAGCGGGATCTTGCTAGCTAAGAAGAACGATGGCTCAGACTCTTTATTAGAAGTAGAGGAAACCGAGAGGGAAAGAGCGAGGAAGGAGATCCATGCCGGCAAGCTGAAGTTTCTCGATTGGGTAGAGGCCCAAGGCGGGGTCGTCGATACAGGTTCTCACCGCACTCCCTTTTGGAAAGCAAATCCTAATTTTTGATAGAGAGTCTGATACCCTTCACTCGCTGGATAACACCCACCAACCTCCCCAAGAGATTCACAACACAAATGTACATCTACTTCCTGCCACTCACACAAAGAACCGCCAAGAACATCTCTTCGAAATCTGTGATCCCGGTCCCTACCTCAGATGGTGGGGTAGAACATACAGCTGCTATCTTCGCATCTTGCTCAACTTGGCTCCAACAGGCATCAAAAAATGAAATTATCCTTTACCCGCCACAGTTCTACTTAATGTACCTCCTCTCTCATTTCCTCACTGCCTCCTCCTCATCCCCGCAATCAATTGAAGAGTTGCAAAAGCAAAGGGACAAAGTGATGGAGTTCTTGAAAGGCGACGGAGGAGATGGGAAAGGTGTAAAGTGGGGAGAGAAGGTGATGAGTCCGAACGGGATTGGGTTGACGAAGGATGGGAGGAGTGTGCTAATTCTTAACAAGCCGGGGCCGGAATTGCAGGGGAGTGGAAGGAGTGGGGATGAAAAGAGGGTTGTGCTTGTAAGATTTGGGAAGGGAGGGCCGAGGGATGTGGAGGTTAGGGAGAGGAAAGTTTTGTTGGAAGAAGAAATGCGAACAGCGAAGCTTTAGACGGGGAGGGATAGACAGGTATGTGGTGCTGGTTTTGATTGATAGAGAATAGATGCTCTGGAGGCGATGGGCACATTTGAATCAGAGATGTTAGACCGGCAGATCGGTGTGGTATTCTGATATGTTCGAGTTGGTGTTTCCCAACCTGGACAAGGACCAAGCCAACGGCCTATGGAAAGACGAACTCAAGAAACCAAAGAAAAAAAAAGAGGGCGAAGACGATGATTGAACAACTCATTCTACAGATTCCTTGTTCATTTACTGTGGGTGTTCGGACTCGTACCGAGAGCATGATGCACGTGGGGTAGAAGGGGGCATACATCGGCGTTTCGAGTGAGACCGGCAGATCGCTGTGCTGAGTGGGCACTCAATAACTTGGGCGGAATTCGCATGCTATGACTCCCAAAGTCCAGTGGGGAGGTATACAACAAGGGCGAAACGGCAAGGCTGTGAATCCCAAGTTCTGGAGGGTAGGCAGGTGACTCAAAGATCGAGGTTATAAATCCAGGAAGGTGGAACCTCCTTCCCCCGAATCAACCTCCTGTCTTCGGCTTTCGTTCTACATCCATCACTTACAACGCGTCACAAATTTGCCGTCTTTCGCAAGCAAGATGTCTTTGAGCATTGTGATTCCTGGTTCACAGCTTATTGATCATCCAGAGAGTATCAAGGAACAGTCTCACTCAGTTACTGCAACAACACTGGCTAATATCAACAACGCGTGGCCTTCGCCGTCATCAAGTACTGCTAACAAAGAAAATAGAGAACTTTCACCGGGCTCCGCATGCCTCTCTACACCACCTCTAAAGCCACCGGGCAACAATGCTTCCCCTTCAGCCACTTCTCAGACTCTGGACAAGAAACTCCCAGCAATTCTAGGCACTGAGGGCTGTCCACGTTCGACATCACACGATGACACTGCTCCCTCTTCAACAACAGCTGCTCACACTCCTGACAAAGAATACTTGAGAACTCCAAGCACAGGGAACCCCTCTTCATCCGCAATACAACTACCTGATAATGCATTGCCTCTCCAAGCCTTCGACCTCTTCCCCGAACTCGCCTTTGAACTCCGGTTCCGAATCTGGAAGAGCATTGACAATCTCAGCACCCACGACATCCGCATCACAGTCACCACCCCTTCTAAAGACGCCGATATCAAAAAGAGACCCACCTTCAAACTCCACACGCCCGTACCCATCATCCTTCAAATCTGCCACGAATCGCGAAAGCAAGGCCTAACAACGTACCGAGCTCTCTTCAAAGTCAAGGACCGGTGCGGCATCGAGAGAGACGAAATCTACTTCAACCCTGCCCTCGATGCGGTATTCGTGAGTATCCCTCGCTGTACTAGTGATTGGATCATCTACACTGGAGGACATATCCACCCCTCTCACCCTTCTGTCGCCACCCCTTTCAACAAGAAGAAGCACAACATCTTCCGCTGCCAAATCTCAACCCCTCCTCAAACACTTCGCGTGCAAAAAGAGGACAGAGAAACCATTGTAGTTGTTCAACCCACCACCAAGCCACTGAAAGCACAAAGCAATGAGAGATTCACCTTTGGCTTTGATGCTTTGGGAAGAGTGGCAGGAGAGCTGTGGAAGAGTGTTGAGTATTATGTGTGGAAGCCGGAGTGGTGGAGTGAGCATTGGGAGTTTTTGTTCAGTGAGTTGATGAAGGAGGAGCCGGAGGAGTTTACGAGAAGGGGAAGGAAGAGAAAGAAGAATTCGGCGAAACCAGCTGTTTCAAGGAAGGGACAACCGATTGTTGGCTGGTAGAGATTTGTGAATGGTGTGGCGATTGACTTTGGCGTTGGGAGCATTGAATGTGCGATATTATGGGATGCGCGGCACTGGAGGCTTATGACTTGGGAAGGGGTGAAATTGTAAATACTTGAGATGAGTGTGCGCCCATGATTTCGACGGAAGTTATGGTTGATGCAGCTCTTGAATTAGGATAGTTTCGGTGTCAGGATGGCTGATGTGAATTGTATGGCAGCTCTCAGCTCTATTATGCAATGCGTTTGTTTCATTTCAATTGCCTCTTCTGCATATCTGTGCAATTCTTATCTTCGTACATTTTGATTACGTCAGAAGGTTTGGATGCGTACCCAGAAGTTATGGTGAAATGAAGCGAAGTTGTCGGGATTGTGGTTGTCTTAGTGGGCAAGTAAGACGTCACGTGTTTCTTGGGGGAAAATACGACTCGCTATTCTGGGGCAATAAGTTGAATATAGCGAATGGTCAAAATAAAACTTACACATTTCAGTGTAGATTTTGAAAGCATTGTAATCAGAGTATCAGGAAGAGAGGAAAGCTTGTAGTAGTCTGTCCCTGGTCCACACTGCCTCGCTTAATTTTTTTTCTTCTTCGACCCCCTTTTCACTTCGCTTAAAAGTTTAAAAGTACCTACACTTTACTATAACTAATGCTCCACCAGCTCCAATTCTAGCAAGGACCAGCTACCTATCTAAGGGGAAAAAAGAGAAAAAAAGCCAAGTCTTCTTCACGGTCGCGTAAGTTCACACCAACATCTCACAATTCAACATATCTAACATCTCACAGTTAGCTCAGTTGGTTAGAGCGTGGTGCTAATATTCAAATGATTACGCCAAGGTCGCGAGTTCGACCCTCGTAGTGACCATTTCAAACTTTTTCTTTTTTTTTTTTTTAAGCTAAAAAACAGGATTTAAATTTTTTTTGGGAAAGAAAGACTCATTTCGCTGGACCTACGGCGTAATTCTTTTAAGTCCTCTTCCACGCCCTTACTAAACGCCAAGATTTTTGTGACAGAAAGACTAACTTCCATGTTCTTCAAGTTACTTGACATTTCGCTAGAGGGCGGGCTCTTGTGCCATCTGACCGCTGCGTTCCCAATAGGTTAACTCGAGTCATGCTAAGCCTGTTGATCGAGAGTTCTGGCAGAACAAAATTGGTAAAAGCCTCTAATTGAATGCCACAAAAATGGTGTATAACAAACACAAAAGGTCATTGCAGCCTCGGTCTTCTTTTTCTATTCACTCGTCGTCATCGCTTGTACTCGAAAGCCGTTCACGCCTCATGACTCGATCCACAAATTTTCAATATTGAATTAATAGGTTTATCGGTGTCTTTTTTATACACATTTTGCGAGCCAGAGGTTTTTCGAAATACTCGTCGTCTCATCTTTCCGCCAGGCAGGTTTTTTAGTATCCCTTTCTCTTAACGAATTCTCCCATAACAAGTATTCCAGAAGGTGAAGATTGGAGAATTTCCACGCATGCTCTGAAACTTTCTTGCCACGTAAAACTGAAGCTCTTGTGAATCAGCATCAACTCCAATCACCATTGTACAGATCCTAGACATTATTTTCGCAACTGATTGGTCCACGAGGACACAAAAGTCCGAAGAGCGGGAAAAGCGGCTCCGATGAAGCGGGGTCGTGTTGACCCCACCAAAAGCTTGTCCAACACCGCCAACTCATTCTGACGTTTGTTAAGTCGGCCTTCGAGATCAAGATTTTCCAGGATCTCCGTGAAATTATTCTTAATTGGTTTTGTTCAAGTGCCCATACTTCTGTTCTTGAACTCCAAACAAAAGTAACCTGGTTGATTGCTTCTGCCTCGACCTCGGTAATTCGACTCAAGAGCAAGAAGTTGCAATGGAGTACCACTCCCCATATCAAATCGACATCACAGTTTCAGATATACCCTCCTTTATATTCGCATCCAGGATCTCTGTATCCAAGAAGTCACCTCTTTATTTCGACGCCGAGAATCCCACAAAATGCTACAGCCTAGAGGAAGCAGAGATCATGGTCAAGCGCATAGCAAAAGGATTACAGAATTTCGGTCTTCAAAAGGGCGAAAGAGTTCTCCTTGTTTCAGGGAATCAGCTGCATTTTCCTGTTCTGTTTTGGGGTGTGATTGCTGCTGAGTGTGTGTTTACGGGATGTACGCCCGCTGCTTCTGTTCAAGGTTTGCCCTTTACTTTACTTTTCTCTTCATTCTGTGCAAGAGAAGGACTTGGCTGATTTGAAGAAGAGTTGGAATATCAGCTCAGAGATTCAGGCGCGTCTTTAATTCTTGCTGGTCCTGAAGCTGCTCAAAAGGCCCTAGATGCAGCCCGAAAAGTGGGATTACCCGAGTCAAAAGTCTTTAGTTTCTGTGATGTAGAAGATGAAGCTCAAAAGCCTCAACCGTGTGGTCTCAAGCCATGGACTACGTTCTGGGCATCTACGAGCCAGGTTCAGTCATGGAATCGGAAGAAAATTGTTACGAAGAAAGAGGCAGAGGAGACGACGGCAGTCATCAACTATTCGAGCGGGACGACAGGCTTCCCGAAAGGAGTCGAGATCTCACACTACAATCTCATAGCAAATGCCGAGCAAGCAAATAATAAACGGAATATGGTTGCCAGTACCGCGAAAGGAAGAGCTCGGAAAGAGCGTCTAGATGTTTCTGGCGAACGATGGCTTGCGGCTATTCCTATGTATCATGCATATGTACGCCCCTCACCTCCAATCTCCTTCATCTATACTGACGCAGAGTTCAGGGCCAGACATACTTCTGCGTCAATGGACCTCTTTCAGGAGCAAAAGTATTTATTATGAAGCAATTTACATTAGATCGATACATGCACTTCATCGATATCTACCGCATAACGTACATGAACGCCGTCCCAACCATCATGGTCATGCTGTCCAAAGACCCGTCTGCTGTCAACTACAATTTCCATAGTATCGAGCAAGCAGTATGTGGCTCCGCTCCGTTAGGGAAGAAAATCGGGCAAGCCGTACAGAAGCGATTATTCAAGCCTGGAGTCAGCGTCAAGCAAGGCTGGGGAATGACCGAGTGCACCTGCACTGGAACAGCTTTTGCGCCCGATGATGAAGACGACGGAGGGTCCGTCGGATGGCTGATGGCGAACTTATCCGCTATGATCATCCCAGTTGACGGGGAACAGTTTGAAAGTGTGTCAAGAGATGGAAAGAAGATTGGGGAATTGTGGATATCGGGTCCGAATGTGATGAAAGGATATTTTAACAAGCCGAATGAGACGGCGGAAACGATTTTTATTGATCCGAGAACGAAGAAACGTTGGATTCGCACGGGAGATATTGGATACTTTGATTCTCGGGGATGTCTTTACATTGTGGATAGGCTGAAGGTATGTTGCATCTTGTAAACAATTCTGGATATCATTTTTAACCTTGCAGTTAGGAGTTGATCAAGGTAAAAGGGCTCCAAGTAGCCCCGGCAGAAATCGAAGCGGTGCTACTGTCTCACCCCGAGGTCCAGGATGCTGCAGTCGCAGCGGTGAAGAAGTGAATCCCCCCTACTAGATCATTTGCGCCACTTACTGACTCGAGCTTAGGGGTGACTTCGAATATCCCAAAGGATATATAGTCCGAAGATCGAAATCTCTTACTGCGAAAGATCTTGAGAAGTGGGTTCAGGAGCGCTTGTCACGTCATAAGTGGCTTGCTGGGGGTATCTCTTTCATCGAGCTGGTTCCGAGAACTGCAAGTGGTAAGGTGAAGAGAAGAGAGCTTCCAAATGCGAAGCTCGAGGCAAAAGAGAGTAAATTATGAACAACCTCCAGTAAGTTTACATGAAAACCACCGTTCTTGACGGGGTTTCTTTATCTGGTACCACGAAATTAGAACAAGGCTCGTTATTGAGCGAATGATAGTGAATGCAAGAGGGGTTGAATAGCCTCCCAACAGAGCGTAATAATAGTGAGGTTCTGACAACCAACGTAATCATATTTTAGACTTGATTGGGATGTTTTCTGTTTCCTTCTTGGGATGGTGTCATTTAGAGCCGGGGCACACATTTCGGGCTACGAGACAATATATGCATTGATAGAAAGTCACATATAGATTTTTTTGTTTCTCTGTCTTCTGAAAATATGCACCTTTCACGTGTACAGTGACCTTTCTTTCCATAAGTCGACCCGCCAAAATTCTTATTGAACCTTGTCTCTATTCTCTGGAGTAAATCCATTTTCTCTACCCTCCTTTAATGTGTTTTTGCTAGTGCTTGGAGTAAGCCATTCCCTGAGAAGTGAAACTGCACGAAGTGAAGAATATATGATTCATTGAAACTCATAACGATCTTTCAGCCGTGTATATTTTAAAGCCAAACTGCATAAAGCGAACGATAGTGGTATCATCCGTCCTCTCATACACACGCAGAAGTAAACAAGGTCTCCCCATGAAGTGCCGATTTCTTGTAATGATATTTCAATCAATCAAGACTTCTCAGCAACCTTCCGATCAATCTCCTTATCAGATCCCGTCGCCGCTGCAGCAGGTGGCGTGTCAGTTCCCGCCTCCTTGCCTTCAACAAACGTAGCCTCGGGACCATGATACTTGCTAGGATGCTTCTTCCCAGTAACATCGAGATAAATCGCCTTGAAGACGTAGAGGAGATCGTTCCGTCCCTCGATCACCGGGAATATTCCAACGCAGCAAAGGGAGCCGATAAGCCACATGATACCAACGACGACCCATCCGGTAAAGAACTTCTTCGAGAAGATGTAGCCGGAGCCATACATGGGCATAGGCCAGAGGACAAGCAGGGCGAGCGTAAGGATGACGGTCATGGCTTTGGCGATCTTGGAGGCGCGCAGGAGCTTGGTTTGCTCGACGGCCATTTCGTCAGGGGTCTCGTCACGCTCACCGGGGATGGCTTCGAGATCCTCGCCTGCCTCGGCGGCCATGTCGTGATCGTCGGCCTTGCGGATTGCGGCCATGGAAGCCCAGTCGTACTTATCCATGCCGAAGATGAGTGTGAAGAGGGGAGTAAAGAGAAGAGGCGAGAGGAGTGCCACGACATTTCCGGCTAACATTGGGTTGTTGGACCCGGTGCAGTCGACGTTCAAAGCACCGCAGGTCTTCTTGGCAGTTACGAGCCAGGCGATGACGGCACAAGCGAGGCCGAGAGGGGGAGTGAGGGTTGCGGCCCATTTGTTGTGGCCGGCCCACATGATGGTCAAGGTAGCTGGGATGACTGCGGATGAGATTATGACTCCCATCATCACATAGAGGTAACCCATGCTGATGCCAGCATAGTACACTGTGCCTCAAATCAGCATCGAACTTGCGTGCACCAGTGGGTGTTGGAATTTGTGACGCAATACTGGTTTTCAATGTACTATAGCTCGAGGGACATTTAGAGCCTAACTGCCATTTTTCTTTTTTGAATGTTCCTCGAGTTAAGGAACAATCTGAAAAGTAATGGCTCGTCGCTTTATGAATGTTCCATAAGTTATAGTACATTGAAATGCAACTTTGCGCCACGAATTCTGACAACCACTAGTTGTGGGAAGATAAGGAGCACTTACATCCTACGGAGAACGAGGCCATGAACAAGCCAAATCCAATAACCATAGCATGGGACATGTAAATCAGTCTCTTTCCAGTAGCGCTTGGGTTGAAGTAGGTCTGGTAGATATCATAAGTGAAGATAGAAGAGACAGCGATAAGCTCAGCAGAGCTGGCAGATGTGACAGCCATGAAGACTATCAGAAGTGTGCAGACAGCGCCACCCGACCCGAGAAGTGCGACAGCAGCATAAGGTAGCACGAGACCGGCAGATACATCGGCCGCGGCCATGCGGTGCGGGTAGGTAGGGAAAACTGGGTTGCCCTCGAGGGC